CCCCCCCCCCCCCCCCCCTTCCCCCCCCCCCCCCCCCCGCCCCTACCGTACCTTGCACACTCTCAACTATGCTTTTCAGTTGTGATGCGTTGAGTAACGTTACCCTGTACTCCTGGCAGAGTACCAAGCGGCGTCGGTAAGCGACGCCACAAAATGGCGTTCACAGGGAGGCTAGAGTAACGGCTGAGCCGAGACGAGATTTAGTAGTTGACAACAAGTCTTGCCATTGCCACGTAAATGCGGGAATCGTGACGGATGTATATGCGTAAATCCTGATCTTGCTGTGCGAGGTTCGTGCGGATGCGAGTCTTATCACTAGTCTTTTCTCCCTTGGAAGTCTTGTCCTTGTTGCAGTTAGTTTTAGTCCTAGCTGCGCTCTATGAGATTAGATTAGTTTTCGTGATTTTCAGTGTTTTTTGTGAGTTATTAATTGTCTTGTTATTTGCAGCTTGACATTGCCGGAAGCGCGTTGTGCTGTGTGGACTGCTTCAAATTTATGTCGCGGAAAAAACCCACCAGTGGACGTAAATAAGGTGCCAGTTTCAATAGAAATTGCAAGTATATCGATTCCTAAGAATCTACACAGTGCATCCTTTTAGAAGGATCATTCGTACTTTGATTATGGCAACGTTTAATAAACTTTGCAAATAGCGATAGTGTTTAATCGGTGTCTCTCTTCTCGGGTGAGTATCAGCTAAGATAGCGGAAAAACGCATTTTGTGAGTGAAAGTTGATTCCGCTTTTTTTAAGTCCATAATGCTTAGGCCGTCACCTTCTGATTACCAGCAGTTACTTCTTACAGATTGCAGTTCTGCTGCCACTGCTAAATGAAGCGATTCAGAGCTCTGATACGCAAATAGTAACAGATGCCGTTCGTGCATTTGCTCGTCTGCTGGATGCTCTGCCGGTGAAATTATATAAAAATATTCTTACGGACGTTGTTGTTGATCGCCTCGTGACTTATTTAAACCATCCGAATAAGAACATTTGGTCCTCCGCGTTACTCGCTATTGGAAATATTGTTTCCGGAGATGACGACCAAACACAAAGTAAATGACTTTGCGCCGAATACTTTTGTTCCTGTTCGGGAGAGCAGTAAAGGAATACAGCTGGAGTTTGCGGCTCATTGGCTAATATGGCTTATCATTTCTCCCTTCACCATTTTTTCAAATATTACATTTCTGGGCATTATTGCTTGCTTCTTGGGGCATTGTACCACTGTACAATTTTCACAGCTTTTTTTGGCATGGTCTTTTTTCCTCCATTTTTTTTTTTTTTTGCATCGCACGTTTTTTGCTGCATCTGTCAGCAAAAGCCGTCGCGGTGAGACCACTTCTGTTTGTTTTTTTGCATGTATCTGCTTGTGTGACCACAGAGTTAAGCCACAAAATTGCAAAAGCTTGGAAGTCGAATTTTTAGCGCACAGTTCCCTGACCTCAAATGAGCCCACGGATTCTATTCTAGTTCTTATCTTTCTCTATGTCACGATGTGATATCTTTCTCTCCTTATCCATTCCTCCTTCCTTTGACTTTGATTTGAAATAATTTCAAGTCGAAAATGAGCAGAATTTTGAGAGTCCCCCTGGATTTGAGTTATTGGAAGTTAGCCCTTGAATTGCATCGAAGCTTGCTTAGTTTCTAACCACGGACCCAAATATAGAATATTTGTACAAGTACAGAAGACAGGAAATTAGAAATCCAAGTTTTCAGAAGTACAATTAGCAGAGTGTTTAACAGAAAATCAGGTCAAAAAAACCACTTTTTCATCACCTGTCTTCATATACAAATTCAGAGTATTTTTATGCGTTTTTTGCAGCAATGCAATACGAAAAACGCATATTGACGAGAGGT